ACAATGTTCTCTTGGTTCTGCTCACTTCACCCAGCATCAGACCATACAAGTCTTTCCAGGTTTTTCTGAAGTCAGCCTGTTCATCATTTCTTATAGCACAATAGTATTCCATTACATTCATAAACCACAACTTGCTCAGCCATTCCGCAACTGATGGGCAGCCTCTCAATTTCCAATTCTTTGCCACCACAAAAAGAGCTGCTATCAATATTTTTGTACATGTGGGTCCTTTTCCCATTTGTATGATCTCTTTGGGATATAGCCCTAGAAATGCTATTGCTGGATCAAAGGGTATGCACATTTTTATAGCCCTTTGGGCTTAGTTCCAAATTGTTCTCCAAAATGGTTGGATCATTTCACAACTCAACAACAATGCATTAGTGTTCCAATTTTCCCACATCTTCTCCAATATTTATCATTTTCCTGTTCTGTCATGTTGGCCAATCTGATAGTGTGACGTGGTACGGCAGAGCTGTTTTGATTTGCATTTCTGTAATCAATAATGATTTAGAGCATTTTTTCATATGACTATAGATGGCTTTAATTTCTTCATCTGAGAATTGTCTGTTCATATCCTTTAACCATTTATCATTTGGGGAATGAACTAGCCTAGTTTTTTTAAAAAAAATCTAATTTTTTAAAAAAAGGATTGTATTATCTTGCTGTCTAAGATTAGGTCGCAAGAGGATGTGAATAAATAACAAGACAAGACAGAAACAAAAAGAAAACTACAGCATTAAAAGAGAAGATGTTTTCAATACATCTTCAATCAAACTGTTGTTTAACTTAAAGGAACTTTTTTTTCAAATGACAATTTGGCAAAGGAAAAGGATTATAAAAGATTACATGCATAAATGCATGATAAAGTAATCAGGCATTCAAAAGTAATGTTAATTTTCTATGGTACTTTCTTTGTTGAGAGCTTATTTTCTTGCCTAACATTCTGGAGTTATTAATCATCACTCTTAGATCTCCTTCAACTTACTATTAACTTTTATGGGGCCTGTAAAATGCTTCACAGAACCAGGAAACAGTAGCAAAGACTACTGGTATTACATTTACAAAAACAAAACCCAGAAGATTCTGTCATTTTTATAATTCAGCCAACTTAAAAAAGTTATATAATTCAACTATAATAAAAGTTAAATAATTCAATTTTTATTTGTTATTATATCTTAAATTATACAATCAAATATGTACTATTTTGTGTGCTCAGTGAATTTTCCCACTGAAGAGATGAATAAGAAAGGCAGGATACACCCAGCTTCTGTGCTTACTTGAGATTAAAACCTTAGGCTTAAAAAAAGGACGGGGCACAGAAAATGAAATTCCTGAGTCTCTTCCCTGACCCCCCCCCCAAAAAAAAAAAGAACACAGAAAAGCCAAGAAAAGGTGAGTTTCCTCCCTTCCCTAGTTTTATCTCAAATCTAGAATAGCCAACTATCATGGTGCAGTCTATTCCAGGGGTGGGGAATCTGCAGCCTCAAGGCCATATGTGGCTTCTAGGTCCTCAAGTGCATCTCTTTCACTGAATCCAAACTTCACAGAACAAATCCCCTTAATAAAAGGATTTGTTCTGTAAAACCTGGACCTATTAAAAGGAAGTACCCAAGTAGTCCCTACTCACTGCTTCTATTTTATATCATCTTACTCTATAGCTACTCATACTTATACTTGCACCCTTTGTGATCTGGTTTCCAACCTCAACTGCTCTTTCCACAGTTAATAAAGATCTCTTAACTGCCAAATCTGATGGTCTTTTCTTAGTCCTATAGTTTCTCTTCTCTGGGATTTCATGACACTACTCTCCCCTGGTTCACCTGTTACCTTTCTGACAGCTCCTTCTCAGTTTCCTTTGCTGACTCATCATCCTTATCACAACCTCTGCCTGTGGGTGCTTCCCAAGGCTCTGCTCTGGGCTGATTTCTCTCCTTTTTCTGCACTCTGTCTAAAACAGAGCTCATTATCTCTGCCTCCCAAATCCATACCTCTTCCAAAGTTCCCTATTTCTGTTGACAGCATCAGCACCCTTTGAGACTCTCAGGTTCACCACTTCATCTCTGACTTTTTACTCTCTCACTCTAGTACCCACAGTTTCCAAACACTGACTTTACAGACAATAAGAACAGAATTCAAGTATTTCAAAGGGCTGCCATGCATAACAGGATTAGGCTTGTTCTGGCTAGCCTTGGAGAGCAGGCAGAAGAGGCAGGTGTTAGATCTGTTTAAGAAAACTTCATATTAATATGACTGTACGTGTATAACCTATATCAGACTGCTTGTTGTCTTGGGGAGAGAGGAACGGAGGAAGGAAAATTTGGAACTCAAAATCTTATAAGTTAAAGTGAATGCTGAAAACTATCTTTACATTTAATTGGGGAAAAAAAAAGAAAAGAAAAACTTCATAAACATTTGAGCTGTCCATAAGTTCAATGGCCTGTCTATAGAGGTGGTACATCCACCACAATGGAGGTCTACAAGCACAGACAGATTACTGTGAACAATGCAGTGGAGGAGAGGCTATGTTCAAGGAAGTGTTGGATTAGAAGGACTGATGAGTCCTTCAAAGGTTGTGATTCTTTTGATTACACAATCATTCTCTTAGTCATTATCTTTGCTGAGATAAGGTGTTTTAAGACTACATTATCTAAAGTTCATTCATAAAGCCCTAAATTAAAACAGTATTGGTTAGACTTAAATTACTCTAATGGTTTGAGGAAAAAAAAAATCAAACAAGTATTTCTTCATAACTAAGAATGTATTTCCCAATTGTTTTTTCATTATATTATCATCATTATTATTTATAGCTTTTGCTGTAAAGCAGATGTGAATAAGATTTTGAGAAACATAAAACAATTTAACAGAACCTAAAATATTTTTCTGGTTAATATACAAGGTGATGGTTGTAATAATGCCTCACGCTCTGGTGTAACTGGTCAAACTTAAAAAAAGATGATTACAAAAAGTGAATAACATGAAAAGAAAAAAGAAGGGAGTTACTGTTTCATGGCCCCAAACTCCATGAAACTGGAAAGTTATAGGTACTTCATATCTTAATTCTAGAGCTAGGGTAGGAAAATTGCCATTTTCAACCAAAGACCTTAGAAAGGCCCCGTAGCCTAACCTCACATTTAAAAAAATTTATGGATAAATCACATATAGACATGTGGTCAATGGATATGAATAGTTTCTAAAAAAGAAATACAAAGTATTTATTGAAAAAAAATGTTCAAAATAATTAATATTTAAATAGGATATGGTATCCGAATAAAATATTACCGTACTACAAGGAAAGACTATGTGAGAAATAAGGGAGACATGTATGAAGGAATGCAGAGTAAAAAACAAAGAGCCAGAATAACATACACAATGACTGAAAAAATATGAAGTCAACCTGGACAGACAAAACTCTGGTCAAATATCCCACTTTTTTTTTTAATTAATAATCAATAATCAATTGTTGTTTCCTTGAACATATTTTATAAAGGCTTTGCTGTTGTTTCAAAACAAACTTCTCCCTTCCACAGATCTGCAATCTTATGTTTTCCACCAGAGACAAAGATTACAGCCCATTCGTGCCAGCTCATCCTGTGTTAACTTGTAACTATATATATTCTCCTTTAATCCTCCCCAGTGGATCCACTTCACCTGGGAATTTTTATCTACTGATTATACTTATTTCTCCTATCATAAGTCTTTCTCTAGCACCAACTATTTCTCCTGCATAATACGTCATTGGCAACATGCTGCAGTCTGCTCATGTCTGCCAGCGTGGTTTTTGTGTGATGGAGACTGCGATATGCTATGGTAAGAATATTATTGCTAAAAAGATAGGCTTTATTTCTCGGAGAAGCTTGAGGTCATCAAAAACAATGTACAATTTGTCAAAAGCAATCCAGTCTGCTCTCTTCCACCAAATAAATGAGCTCCTACCAGACAGCTATTTGCAGTGTTTGCTCAAGATCTAGGAACTCATAAAGCAACTCTATGGGTTGTATATTCAAACATGTGTCACTATCTGGACAAGAGGAATTCTTTACTTATTTGGCTAGTTGGGCCAAATTTCTGGGTGATCAAAATTTTCCTCAGGAGGTTTTATGAATACCAATAACTACAGACCTATACTTTCCCATTTCTAAAACTCCTCCCCTTCTCCAACCCCTATGAGAATAATCTTCTTGAGCACCAAGGACATCCCTAATGAAGGTTTAAGAAGGGAACACAAGGTTTTCATAAATTACATTCAACAATACACCATATCTTTACAATGATAAAATTGACTTTAAGGTATAAGGAACCACAAGATCTTCCCAAGTTTATTTTTTTGAACTATAAAAAAGTTTTTAATTTGGTATTGTAAAATTATTCCTTAAAAGCTCTTTTTCAACAAGATGTCTTTCATGAATGTATCAAAATTACACAGATTCCCTGAAAGATGGAACAAAAGACAGGCTTGTTTAACTACCCTTTGATTATGAATATTAAATGAAGTATAGCATGGAGGTATGACCACCACAAAGTTTTCCATGATACGGGAGAATATTCAGTACAGAGTCCAAATGGAAGAGATGACAGCTGTATTTCCAGCTGTGGTGCTCCTGGAACACTGCCTCTTGGGTGGCTGAACAAACTGTTATATATGAAAATGTAACAGAATATTACTAATATAAGAAATATAATTTCAGAGAATATTGAGTGATATACTCTGAGCTGACAAAGAGTGAAGCAAGAACTAGGAAAGTAATTTCTTTAAGGACATCAACACTGTAAAGAAAAACAATTTTGAAAGAACTCTGATCAATGCAATATTCAATTACGTGTTCAAGGGACCTACAATGAAATGTATCATCCATCTCTCAACAGAGGTGATGGATGCAAGGTCTGGAAAGAAATACACATTTTTGGACATCGCCACTATGTGGATTTATTTTGCTTAACTGTGCTTAATTATCACAAGGGTTTTTGTTTTGTTTTTTCCTTCTTAGTTCTTAACAGGGGTGGGGAGGAAAGGAAAGGAAAAGGATGAGAGGAGTTATCAATAGTGATGCCAAAAAAGAGAAAGCCTTTGTAGTAGGTAGAACTGCACTTTTTTCCCTCAAAAAGCAAGTGGTATTAAATGAGATATTTGAATGTCATATATAATCTTTTTTGTGTTCTGTTTCATGTATGGAAATGCTCTTTATATTGCTATTTAATTCAGAATAAAAACTTCAAAAAATGAAACTACGCATTAATTTGTAATAATACATTAATCTTTTCTGCAAAATCAACAGATGGTCAACTTAAACAGCAACAGAAGACATCAGGAGTTTTCAATGCTACTATAGAAGAAAAAATGTCCAGTAAGACAAAAATGATCAATAGTTACAGATTGCAAAATTTCCCCCAAAAAGATAAAATTGCAAGGCTGTGTTGTGTGTGTGTGTGTGTGTGTGTGTGTGTTCTTTGGCACCTTCCTCCCCCCATAGCAATCAATGGTTTTCAGTGCACATTTGCTTAGAAATACTTCACTTGGCTCTGAACTTCCAGGAAGCTCATTCTCATCTTTCCTTGCGACCTTTTCTCTCCAACCCTCTCCCTTCCATCTCTTGCTCTGAGAACTATCACCATCGCCATTTTCACCAAAAGAGAGTGATCCACTATTCCACTAATCATCCCTGTGACTCCCCAGACCAAAGCCCATTTCCTGGGCCACCATTCCCCTTACAGACATTATCTCCCCCAATTAAAATGTAAGCTCTTTGAGGGCAGAAGCATCTTGATTTTGATTTATATTCTTAACAATTCTTATTCTTAGCACAGTGCTTTAAACAGATGAAAGCATAAAAAATACTTCATTCATTCATTCCATCATTCCAGGTACAGGACTTTTCCCACTACACTAGGCTGCCTCCCTAAGCAGATTAATTTGGAAGTGAGAAAAAAGTGATCCAGACTTGGACTTTTGCTGTCAATATTGAACCAACACCTAAACATGAATACTATGGATTTCTAATTATAGATTAAAAACAGTTGCCAGACTATCTTCAGGACTGAGTCAAAGAAGAAAACTTAATACAATTATTTTGACTAAAACTCAACTCAGATAAATAATCAATACTAAGTTCCTCATTAGAGTTTCAATTCATAATTGCATTTTTTTTAAACATTCGCTTTCCCCAATCAACATGCAAACAGGGCAAGTATTGCTGGATATAGTTACAGAGCAGCTGTTCAAAAGTAACTCAATAGGGTGCAGCTCTACAGCCATACAAAGAAATAACCTTATAGCCTGGGGAAGTTTAAAAAAGAACTCAGGCTTCCTTTAAAATGTGTGATTTTTTTTTTTGGTCCTGTAAAATTTCAAAACATCAGTAATTGCACTTGATGGTATTTATATGCATTCAAACTGCTAGAGCGAAAGGAGAAAGCCTGAACAATTCAAGTAATTTAAACTCAATTGAAATACAAATACTACACAACAGTTTTCATAGGATGCCTGTCTCCTTCAAGGTTTCAGAAGCTCACCTTTAGCATGCTAGAAAACCAGTAGTTTTTATTCCTGGAATGACAGAGCTGAGCACAGGAGGTCTGGCAGCAATGAGGAACATATTCTAAGTAATAAAACTCTGTTTTCTTTCTGTGAGGAACACAAAGAGAGGGTGGTCCAAGGTTTAAAACAAACAATGGATCCATTCCTCCTTTTATTCTCAAGGATTTTCTTTGGGAATCTTTTTAAGGTTTTTACTGTTTTCCCCCCTTTTCTTCCAGGTAAATTTGAAATTGGCTACATTCCACAAAACAACCGCTACACAAAACTGGAAAATGTCCCATGGACATGAGTTATCTGATAAGGAAATGCCTTTTTGTTGAACACATCATGGATTAGCACCATCTGGGACTGAATGAAGAGAAACATTGCTCAAAAGCAATATACCTGGTCAAGGGGGACATACTTCACCAAGCCACTGACAACTGTTCTTGGTACTTTTTCTCCAACATCCACCTCTTCAACATACAAAGAATCTGCATCGGGATGCTTTTTGGCAGCGATGATACAACCAATGCGAAGATCCAGGAGAGAGACATCTATTGGTTTGGAGTCAGGGGCCGCGGCTGCTGGCTGCTTTTGCTTCTTTTCCTTCTTCTCTCCTGTCAAGTGTTCAGGAATGGTATTCAGTCAGGAAGCAAAACCATAACATAATCCATTCACATACTCAATGCAGATGCTGCCTCTAAGACACCTACTGTGAGCCCTCAGCTGAACCTAATCTCCCCACAGTGCAGTCAGCCCAACCTGCTGGAGCTCACCTACACTGACACTGAGAATATCAAGACATGTGCCACAAACACTAATGAACTGGATCTCTGCCTGCATCATACGATCTCTTCTACTAAGCCTGGTCTCATTGTTTAATAAAAAGCAGGGTACATGAAGGGGATTTTAATGTCAAACGACAGGATAACAGGTCTTGAGCTTGAAATGACCTCAGAGGCCATCTAACCCAACCTACTCATTTCACAGATGAGGAAACTAAGTCCTATTGAGGTGAAGCGACTTGCCAAAGTCATACAGGTAATACCTTCAGAGGCAGGACTTGAACTTAGGTCGTTTGACTCCAGAACCAGTATTCTTTCCACCGTACCATGCTGCTCCTTACTTCAAGTCTTGCTATTCTGAGTCCCAGAGCTATGTGAAGTAGTATTTCAGCGTAATTTAAGAAAATTCTTCAATTCCCAATGTGCCTCATCATTCTTTTATATTGTTTACTTAACTTTCCAGCAACTATGTTAGGTGGGGGTAGGGGGCAAGTTTAACATGAGATAATACCTACACAGAGATAGAAATAGCAGATGTATTAGAATCAGAAAAAAGTAACTTCTAATATGTTTTTTTTGTAGGAGGGAAATGTTTTCCTTAGTAAACTTTAATAACTGAGCTGTGAATAATAATATTGTAAAAACACTAGAGTTGACTTTAATTTAAATGCAATCCTACTGGCAAAACATCTCTCTTTCGAGCTTTCAACCATCTCTACCAAAGTCCTAATCAAAAGACCCTGAGATTTCAAAGACTATGCCAGACAGGTTCTACCATGTTAGAGAAGACATGGTAATCTAACAAAAATTTATATACCTGCCGACAGGGTAGCCCTTCCTTCTTGAGCCTGAGAGAGCAAGAGCCAAAGGATATCACTCTCCCTAAACCCTCTTGCCAACGTCCCTTTCCCTCTCCTAGCTGGAGGCTGGCTCCCTCTATTCCCACACCTTCATGAGGAAATCCAGAGTCTCTCCTCTACTCAGACCTTGAGGCTCCACTGGTGCATTCCCAATGGTGGTGACTAGGACCCCTCCAGACCCAAAGATAGGTGAGGAAATATGGCCACTCACACCATTTTGATGTGGACATGCAGGGCAGTCACAATTATAATATTTGTAAAACAGAGGACTTTGAGGTCTTATCATCTATTGTGTCATGCCTACTAAGATCTTCAAGGCCTTACCATCTGCCATGCAGCTGAACTCTCCTATCAATAGTCAATAAACATATATTAAGTGCTTACTATGTGCCAGGAACTATGCAAAGTGCTGGGTATAGAAATAAGAAAAAAAAAATGACAGTCCTTGCCCTCAAGGATCTTACAATCTAATGAAGGAAGACAAGATAAAAAAGGAAGCTGAAATGGGGAGGGTGGTCAGGGAGTAACTGGCAAGGGGGCTTGATGTACTTGGGAGTTGAAACCAAGCAAGGCAGCTGATGGAAAATGAACCATTACCTGGAAAGTTCTGAGCTCTCTATAAATGAAGGCTCTGGGCTGACTTTATTATTCTGCCCTCTAGTCAGAGGGGAAACTGCTGAGTGTCAAAACTGAGTCAATCTGCAAGGTGATGAGCTTATCCTAGGGGAAGGCAGGATATTCATGGGGTTGAAAAGTAGCAGAGGAACTGATGGAAAATGAACATGTGGAACATATGAAATATGTGTTGTCTCCATCAGAATATGAGCACCTTGATAGCAGGGACTCTTTTCCTTTTCCATTTGTACCCCCAGAGCTTAACACAGTGCTTAATACAAAGTAAGCAGTTTATAAATGCTTTTTCATTCATCTGTTATCAATTAACATTCACTGCCTACCATAGACAAGGCATTGTGCTAGGTGTTAGGGATGCAGAGATAAAAATGAAAGATTTTCTGCTTTCTAGGAAGTTTAATTCTATTGTGCAGGTTCAAAGTTAGGCAAACAGAAGATAAGGAGGGAGAGAATACAAAAACTGAGGGCTTTGGGAAGACTTTGCAAAAGGTAGCAACTAAAGCTACCTCAAGGAAGATAAGGATTCTGAGAGGCAGATGATGAGGGGAGCATTCCAGGAAAGGGAGACTGTTTATGTGAATGCAGAAAATGTAATAGCAAGACCTAGTACAGTACAGTTTGGTTGGGACACAAAGTGCATAAACAGATTAAAGTGGAACATATTTAGAAAATTAGGTGGTATTTAAACAGTAGAGTGTTTTAAATACTAGTTTGTATTTTATAGTCGAGACAATAAAGAACCTCTGCCAGTTTCTGAGAAGGGTGAATAACATGATCACACTTGTGTAGCTTAAGAAAGTTATTTTGGTATCGGTGTGGAAGATGGATTTGAGAATGGAAAAGCCAACTAGCAGGCTATATGTACAAAGAAGGGACATATCCAATCATGTGACAATCTTTGTGTAATAAAACTTTAAAGTAAAAAAAGAAAGATCATGGTGCCAAGTATAACATGCATCTGTATTTTTCTGTCTGTTTCTTTTATTTTTTAAATTAGCCTATGCTTGAATGTATTTGACTACTGTTTGAGAAGCTAACAAGTTTCAAATGTGAAAATACCTTTTTTTTCTGTATTTTCTTTCTTTTTCTTTTCTTCTTCATCTCCTCCTTCCCCTTTGGTACCAGAAGGCAAGACTGGAGCAGATACTGACTGTATTAAATTTTCAGAAGGTATGGATGTAGAATTAGCTTGAACTGATGGACCAGATGGAACTGGTATTTGTTTCACTAAAAGAGAACATTGAAATATAAAATGTTCAAACACGAAATAGTAGTAATGATGGCTAGCATGTATATAGTACCTACTATGTGCAAAGTCCTTATTATTTCATTTGCATCTCACAACCCAGGGAGGTTCATTCTCATTTTACAGCTGCAAAAACTGAGGTAAGTAGTGGTTAAGTGACTTGCCTACAGTCATACAGCAAGTGCGGTTTGAGATCACATTTAAACTCGGGTCTTCCTGACCAGCCTCTGAACTCTATCCACTATAGTACCATTTAGTTGCCTAATAAAGAACACAGAAAAATAAGAATGTATATTTAAGTTATATTAATTTTTTTTATATAAAGAAGTTATTTATTCATGACTACCTAATCACTACTTTCTAAGGATGGAGGAAATAAATGGAAAGGTTCCATACACACTTACATTTCTACAACAAGCATACTACTTCGGGGCACATCTATATTCTGTGTGGACAAGATTTCACACTAATGAAAATTTTATAATATCACTCACTTCCCCAATTATTGTTCAAAAAACAAACAGATTACTGTTTACCTAGATTAAAACTAATAATTGTTCACTGCTAGACAATTAGAATTTTAGGGTAATATCTGCACAATTATTCTACAGACAGGATTATGTTATCATGGTCTAAAACTGGACTACAACATGCAGCTATTGCTGCATGAGGAATAGTGAGCAGTGATACTTTAAATAGGTTAAAAGATATTTAAAGGAAATTAGACTCATTTAAAAATAAAACAACAATAAAACCCAAATAGCAGAAACCATGCATTATCTCAGGGGTCAGGTGACTATATTTTCTAAACCAAAAATGGAACACGTAGCCAACCAAATAATATTCCTTAAGTAATGCCTCATTAAAAGTGTGTGTGTGTGTGTATTACACATGACACCCCACCCCCCTCCCCAGACATCAAAATTGTACCATAAAATCTGGGATCTATGGCTGTTTAGTTGGCAAAATATTTCTAAAAGTAAAAAAGGTAAAAGATAACCATACTCTGCAGAATTTCAATTTATCTTTGTAGGATGCCCTCACTGTAGCACCAAAAAACCAAACAAAAACCAACAACAACAACAACAAAAAAACCCAACCCAACAAAACAACAAAACACAAACTCCTCGATCTATTTTACAGTAGTATTCAATAAAAATAGTTTAAGGATTATAATCTATAAATGTAAAATTACAGATTATTTTGAAAGGCAGCACAGCATAGTAAAAAGAATGCTGTATTTGAGTCAGCAGACATGGGTTCAAATACTAGGTACTACGCTTATTAGATGTGTGTTCTTGAAAAGTCATTTGACTTTTTCCAAGTTTTAGTTTGCTCGTCTTGTTTTGAAATAGCTGAACAGACCTTTAAATCCTAAACAGATACGAACTATTATTATTTTAAGTACTAAAAGTATGTTCAGTTTTGAGACTTCAAATACAGCAGAGGAAATTACTTTTCCCTCCCCAAGAAACATTGTTTAATATATGTGGTTACACGTATCAACATTTTTGGGATACCTTTTTATATCTCTCCTGGAGGAATACACATCATCATATATCTCAAATGAAACACTGCTCAAAATCACTAAAAGGCAAAGCCAATATAAGAGTTCTCTGACCAACACTGTTTTGCAATAATGATCAGCATGAAAGCAATGGACAGACAATTATGTGGGAAGGTAAATAGCATGAAGTTTAAATCTGTGCTATGTCAAAGGACAATAGCAAAATCTACCTTTTCTGACAGAGACAGGAAAAGA